AGAGAACAAACTGTATCCCCATCTCTACCCAAGTTCATCCCTAACACACCACACACAACACACATCATACCCACTTCACACACCACATACTACTACATATGTACCATGCCCACCTCATACACCCCACACACTTAACCCATACACAGCATACACACACCACACACATACCATGCCCACCTCACACATACCATACACATATTGCATACATACCACACACCACGCATATGTCATACCCACCTCACACACACCGCACACATGCCATGCCCACCTCACACACACCACACACATACCCCATACACACCACACACAACACACATATCATACACACCTCACACACTAAACACAGCATATACACCACGCCCAAGTCACATACCCCACACACTCAACCCATGTACAGCACACACACACCACACACATACCCCATACACACCACACACAACACACATCTCACACACTAAACACCACATATACACCATGCCCACCTCACATACCCCACACACTTAACCCATATACAGCACACACACACCACACACATACCATACCCACCTCACACACATACCCCATACACACTGCACATACTTATCTCACACACCACATAAATAGTATGCCCACCTCACACACACCACACACTTAACTCATATGCACCACACACAGCACACATACCATGCCCACCTCACACACACCATACACATATCATACCTACTTCAGGTACACCATACACTTAATCCAAATATGCCATACACACACACCACACACTTATCATACCTACTTCACACACACCACACACACCCCATATACACCACACACATACCACACACATATCATACCCACCTCACACACCACTCACCACATATATACCATACCCAGCTTGCACACACCCTACACATATCATACCCACCTCACAGACTACATACACTTAACCCATGTACACCACACACATATCATACCCTCCTCACACACACCACACACACCCCATGTACACCACACATATACCACGCACATCATACCCACCTCACATACAACTCACCACATATATACCTTGCACACACCATACACATATCATACCCACCTCACAGACCACACACACTTAACCCATGTGCACCACACACAGCCCACACATATTTTACCAACCTCACACACACCACACACCACATATACACCATACCCCCCCACACACACCACACCCTTAACCCATATACACTACACACACATCACACACATATCATACCCACCTTAGATACACCACACACATAACATACCCATCTCGCACACACCACACACTTAACCCATATACATTACACACATATACCCACCTCACCCACACCTCATACTTAACCCGTATACGCTACACACATATCATATGCACCTCACACACTGCACATATGTCAGAAACACCTCTTACATACCACATATACACCATGCCCACCTAACACACCCCACACATTTAACCCATGTATACCGCACACATATCCTTCCCACCTCACACCCATACCCTGTACACATATCAAACCCACCTCACACACATAGCCCATACACACCACACATATCCACATCACACGCTACATATATACCATGCTCACTTCACACGCCCCACACACTTAACCCATATGCATCACACACACCACACACATATCATACCCACCTCACATACACCATACACTTAACCCATATACACTACACACACCACACACATATCATACCCACCTCACGCACATACCCCATACACACCGCACACTACATATACACCATGCTCACCTCCCACATCCCACACATTCAACCCATATACACCACACACATACTACACACGTACTTCATACACTGTCACACACCACACATATCCCCCACACACATCCCATATACACCGCACACATACCATGTCCACCTTGCAAACACCACACACATACTTCATACACACCATGCACTCTTCACAGTTACCAATCACCACATATACCCCATACCCACCACACACCTTATATACACACACCACATATACCGTACTCACCACATAATACCACACATACACACACCATACACATTTTATACACACCACACACACTTCATAAATACCACATATACAGCACACCACACTTCAGATACATATTACATCACCCATACAACACAGCACATTCCACACAGACAACTTATTCACACTACAAAGATACCACACACACCATACAATATCATACATACATACACCATTCACATCTTATACACACCACATACCCCATACACACACACACCCCTCATACAACCACACACATTACACCCACCTCATACATACCACACACCACAAACACTACACCATGCACACAAAACATACATACTCAATGCTTCCACACTATATCACACTTCACACACACCACACACACATATCACATTCACATCACACATACCACATACCACACACCATACACAGAACACTCCACACACTCACCACACTCTCCAGAATGCCCCACCACCATACACACACCCCACACACTCCCTACCTACCACACCATGCACACTGTATGTCACACACAGCACACACCTCCACCACACACATTTGCATGCAAACTACTCATTTTGCATTCAGAGTACTTGAATGACACTGAATGGTTTAGTCTTCCCCAAATTAATACTGCTCGTCTGTGTTTCCCGGCTGTCCTGGCTTGCACATCCCCTGGTCCCGCCCTTCCTTGGGTCAGCGCCACCTCCTGTGTTTCGGGTATCGCTGGCTGTGCCCTGTGGTGTGCTCACGTCCTGATCCCATGGGAGGCTGGCCCCTCTGCCCCAGTGGCCACTTTCCTGGAGAAGACTGGCCTGTTTGCCACCATTCCTGATGCCCAGAGCAGTGGCTGGTGCGGGAAGTTCTGCTTCCTTCCCTCGGTGTCTGCCCTTCCCCACGGGACGTTTTGTCTCAGGTCTGACATCTCCCCAGCTAGAAGAGAGACCCTCAAAGGCGCGCAGGTGGGTTTGATTATAATGCTGTTGAATAATCAATGTGTTTTGGTAAAAAACTCAACCAGTACATACATCTTCAATAAAGTAAAATGTGCATGCCCCCTCTGCTCCCACCTTTCTCCCCTCCCCTCCCCAGAGGGACTGACAAGCCTTTGGGGAGCTCCTCCTTTCTGTGTGCCTTTGCGTCCGTGTATGGGCTGGGGAGTGTGTGTGTATTCTCTAGCCATCTTAACGGAGCTGGAACTGGGATCTACACACGTGCGCCGACTGTAGCTCACTTGCCATTTTCCCTCCAAAACAGGCCTTTAAGATCCCTCACTGTAGTGCCTGTTGACCTGCCTCTTTAAAAATGCCATCGACTCTTGCAGCACGTGAACTCTTTCATCATTTATTTAACCGTTCCCTTATTTATGGGTACTTCGGTTGTTTCAGGTTTTTTAAAAGATTGCTGGCTGGACGCGGGGGCTCACTCCTGTAATCCCACCACTTTGGGAGGAGACTGAGGCGGGTGAATTACGAGGTCAGGAATTCAAGACCAGCCTGACCAATATGGTGAAGACCTGTCTCTACTAAAAATACAAAAATTAGCCAGGCATGGTGGTATGAGCTTGTAGTCCCAACTACTTGGGAGGCTGAGGCAGGAGAATTGCTCGAACCCAGGAGGTGGAGGTTGCAGTGAGCCGAGATCACGCCACTGCACTCCAGGCTGGGTGACAAAGTGAGACTCTGTCTCACACACAAAAAGAGACTGCTGCAATGAAAACCTTGAGCTGTCATTTTTCATCTTGCTGTGGGAGAACGTGGTGGGAGATGCCATGGTGGTAGAGTAGCCTGGCGCATGGTCAGGCTTTGTGTGGTTCTGACTCTGTTCTTCCCAAAGTTCCTTTCTACTGAGCTTCCCCAGGCAGAAAACTGCTAGAATTGTAAACAATATGTACTGGTTATGCACTAGTTAAACCAGTTTGCAAATCACAGGATATCTGACCTTGTCCCCCTCGCTGACTTGCAAAGAGTGCTTTCTAGCTTATTCCTATTTTACTAGTGAACAGGCACTATCTGCCTGTGTAGTCTGTCTTTATCCTATGAAGAAACACTGAGCACCTGCTTATTAAAAATAATCACTTGTTCACAAAGAATCAATATGTGGGTCAGAGTCTGCTCTGGGCTTTCAGCTGGGAAATGCTGTCAGCCCCCTGACATCCCACTCTGATCCCACTTTTGCACTTTATACTGTTTGTTTCTTAACTCCTTCAGCACCGCCAAAGGAATAGGACTCCACGCCCCAGCTGGTCTCAGCAGGATACATACCAATAATAAATTTACAACAGTAGACATGTTTGTCTACAGTACATCTAACACAGACTAAAAAAACAGACCCTAAATCATTAAATGGTAATTAATTCATATCTTTGATTTTCTTATACTTCTATATTTTCTATAGATCACTTTTGTAACAAGAAAACAAAGCAAATGAAAATGAAATTCATTCTCTCAAAAAGAAGTCAAGACAAAAAGAAGGCTCATAAAGTAATATAAAATATGTTTTAGGGTTTAGGTAAAATGCTTAATAAAATTACCTTATTTGCTCCAAACTGCATTCCGGCTTTGCCTTCAACTAAGGTGGCATTCATTTGCATCATGACCCATTCCATTCAGTAGGCACTGCTCCAGCCCTACAGGAAGAACAAAACATCTCTAGAATACAGCAACGTTCCTAATTCCCACTTGGGAAGGCCTAACAAAATGGCATATAACTCAGCAACAGCAAATTGGCATTAAAAAGTCTGTAGTCAAGGGGAAAGGTAAAACTGGACCATTTCCTGAATCTCACAAAGAACAACAAACCTATGTTCTAAGTGCCTAACATGAGCAAATTAGAACCTTAAATAAAGGTCACTCTTACTGCCTATTCTAGCATAGATTCAGCACCAAGTACAAAACCATTTTACTGGTTTACCATTTTCAGTCTTGAAAGTAGGAGGTATTAAAAAAAAAAGCAACAAAAATTTCTTTAAGAGTAGGAGATATTGCTTAAGAACTTTCTCCTTACAATCTTATATCATCAAAATACATTATTAAGGGTGAAAATTTAAAATTTTAAGAAAATAGTCACCTGTTTTGTTAGAAGTTCCATATGAAATGCTCCTCTACCCAATACATACCTTAAAAAAAAGAAGGAATCCTACAAAATTCTCCCAGGAATTATTCCTCTGAGAACTATTTCTAAGTGGCATTACTAAGAAAGTATGCACACAAGTAAAGATGAGAACATGCAAACATAAAATAGTTGTGAGGGATACACGACTATGGGTATGTATTTAGTTATTTCTTTATTAGTAGAGTCTTACTCTGTTGCCCAGGCTGCAGTGCAGTGGCACGATCTTGGCTGACTGCAACCTCTGCCACCCAGGTTCAGGGGATTCTCCTGCCTCAGCCTCCTGAGCAGTTGGAATTACAGGCGCACGGCACCACATCCGTCTAATTGCTGTATTTTTAGTAGAGACAGAGTTTCACCATGTTGGCCAGGCTAATCTCAAACTCCTGACCTCAAGTGATCCACTGGCCTTGGCCTCCCAAAATGCTGGGATTACAGGCGCGAGCCACCCCACCCAGTGGACTACCGGGTAATTTAAAAATTCTAATGCTATTACTCTAATCACTCTTAAATTCTAGTCAATTTTTTCAAATGGCTCCTAGAACAGAATACTTTCAAATGTATATGATGTCAGAAACTAACAACTTAGCCCTAAATATTCCAGAGAATAGGGGCAGAAGAACTAGTTTCCTTAAATGACATTAGAGTCTTCTTTACCTCTGAAACTTTCTCGACCATCACATTACAGTCAAGAGTTTTTCCTCCGATGATGGCACAGAAATTAGAAGGTGGTTCTAGGATGTGAAGAGTTGATGAACAGGATTAAAAAGTGGCTATCAGTAGATGAGAAAGGTAATCTAGAGCAATGAAACATATAACTGAGGCTGTGTATGCACGGTGGCTCATGCCTGTAACCCCAGCACTTTGGCACGCTGTAATGGGAGGATCCCTTGAACTCAGGTGTTCAAGATCAACCTGGGAAACATAGTAAGCCCTCATATCTACCAAAAATAGAAAAGATCACCCTGGCGTGGTGGCACATGCCTATAGTCCAAGCCACTTGGCAGGAAGATCCTTGGGGCCTAGGAGACAGTGAATTATGATTGTGCTACTGCACTCTAGTCCAGGTGACAGAGCAAAGACCCTGTCTCAATACCAACAAACATATGACTGAATCCACCACTAAGGCAGGAATGGAGGAGGAGAGCAGCTGAGATCAGCATGTTAATGAATTGCTGGTATAAACTATAATTATATAACCACAAAAGTCCAGGTTCTGGAGATTTACACACACACATTTAAATGGTCTTGCCTCTGAGTCTTCCTAATTTTTTCTAATATTGCCAAATTTTCTTTTTCAAGTCCACCATCCTCTGACTTTTTCCCACTAACAGGCTCTTCTTCCTTCATCTCATAGTGATCTAAGTCTTCTATATCCTGCTCAAAAGAAGAAAAATATTACCTTATTAAAGATGTTATTCTTCATGGTTTCTTACGCCAAAAGTTAAATTACTCTTGGCTCAGTGGGAGACAAGAACCAGAATATATCTATACTATGGGGGAGAGAAAAAGCCCCCAAATTCAGTTCAAGAGGTTCCTTCCTTTTATATCCCATCTTTTATTTAAAAGCTAGACTCTGGGTAAAGCAGATTAAAAGTTTTGTTAAGTCCCATTACCAAATAAGCCAACATACATACATTCATTAATTCATTCATTCACTCACATGGAGTCTCCCTCTGTTGCCCAGGCTGGAGTACAGTGGTACGATCTCAAGTCATTACAACCTCGGCCTCCCGGGTTCAAGTGATTCTTGTGCCTCAGTCTCCCGAGTAGCTGGGATTTACACATGTCCACCAACTAATTTTTTTGTATTGTTAGTAGAGATGGGATTTCACCATGTTGGCCAGGCTGGTCTCCAACTCCTGACCTCGAGTGATCTGCCCACCTCTTGCTCTCCTGCCCACCTGCCTTTTACCACGTAAGGATACAACAAGAAGGCCCTCAGACACTAAATATTGGTATTTGCATCTTGGACTTCCCAGTCTCAAGAACCGTGAGAAAATAAATGTCTGTCCTTTATAAATTACCCAGTCTGGTATTCTGTTATAACATAAAACAGACTAAGATAAAACTCCTTGATGATTTTTCAACAAGAGGGAGTTTCACTACTCCTGCTGAATAGTCCCTCAAATCTTCTCAAATTCTTTTATGCAAACATAAAATTTTTAAAACTTAGCAGCTCCTCTTCCAAAAAATAACCAAATACAGGTTAAAGACTGATCAGTATTAAATATAACATAATGTTGGTGCTAAAAGTAAACAGCTCTTGTTTGCCAAGAAACCAAATCCAAAGAATTCAGATAAAGCAATTTGCTCAAAGGTGTGTCATCAGTTAGGTAAAGCCAGAGTTGAGGAATTATATTCTGTTCCAAATACACTGTGCTTTCAATTATTCCACATTAATAGCAGTTTATAAAGGAGATTAGAAAATTATTCAAATGTTCACAAACGAAGATATTTAGGAAATGTCATTCTTATCTAAAATACCTACTTCAGCCATCTCCTCTTCTTCCTCTTCCTCTCCAGTCACTTTTTCTGTTGTCCCATTCTGAAATAGAGAAAGAATCTGCCAGGATTACATAGGCTGAATACAGGCTGAGTCCATTAGAAGACTGGTGCCATAGCTTTAGGGACAAACTCTCAACCACCTGTTACTGCAGTGCCGCTACCAGAGAGTTTATTAAAATTAAATGTTAAAAACAAGCACAAAGTAAACATACAAACAACTTTGCCATTATACTTTTTCCTGGATAACTGCAGATATTTCCTGTCATTTCCATTTTGTTTCAACACTGCAGAACAGTACCCTCGTGGCCCAATGGTGAGGCAATGTGCACACGAGGAACAAAACATGGGAACGGGAAAAAGAATATAAAGGTAAATCAAACTTTTAAAATCCCAATAATGCAACAGCTTCTTTTCTTATTTACTGGATTAATGTCCATTCCACATAAATTCACATTTCGGTTCCAGGAGGCCATGCACCGTAAGCCCTAATAACAAAGACCACTATTTCTAGAGGGTAAAACAGAGACTGTGGCCGATATCTCCTGGTGGAAAAATGCTTCTGGAAGACTCATAAAATTATGTTCTATTTGTTGTCTGGATTCGGGGGACCACAGAAATAGAAAAGGACAGAAACAAGGCATGCTTTTGAGGTTCCTTGGGCTCGTTAGTAGGAAAATAGGTGTTTTCCTTTGGGGATTTTTGCAGCTTAGAATACTTTTTCATTGTCCTCAGTCTTTAGGGGAGTGTTAGACTTTGGCAGTCCCACTGTTGACAAAATCTTGTCTTCTTAAACTGAGCCTTCTTGTAGGCATGCTGGAGTTCCATGTGCGCCCACAAAGAACACTGTTGTTTAAAGAACATACAAGAAATTCGTAATAGTGGTTAACTTTTGTGGAGGAAGGGGGATGAATAGAAGGAAACTTGGTGTTTAGGGGACAAGTCGGGAGAGTTTGTGCTTAGGATATAGACATTTTTGAGTGTTGTGCTGTGTGAATTTATTATGTAAAAAGTAAATTTGTGACCTAGTAGATAGATGTGCACCACTATGGAGAATGCCGATGGTATATTAATTGGAAGTTAAGATAATAGGTTGGTTGTACCTATGCGGTAAAAATTAATCCTAGATTTGGCTTCTTAGAAAGATTGTATATTTTTACTAGAAGAGGACTCCTTTAGTAAATGGCTTGGTGCCAGTTATGGGCATTCTTTAGATTTCTAACTTAAAATGTCATTCATATGTATAGTTGTGGAAGCTTAATATTTTCTCACCTGCAAGTAATATTTTGTAGGGTTGTTTTTTTTTTTTTTTTTGATAGAAGTGATGAGGAAGAGAGTTTGAGTTTTATTAACATCCAGACAGTGTTCTTTCACTTGATTCATCAACATGGAGATGGACTCTAGAACCTGACGGCTTTGTACTTGTCCAGTAGTAGGAAGACATATAATAATGAACTGTGAGGCTTGTTGATGTTTATTGGCGTACAGTTTTGGTTAGGTTGTTCTTACAGAATTGTAGAGAATAATGAAATTGAGAAATGAGGCTATTAAGTTAAAATTGTTTTTGAAATGGAAATATTCAGTGTCCTGTGTACTTTTTTTTTTTTTTTTTTTTGAGACAGAGTCTCTCTCTGTCTCCTAGGTGGGAGTGCATTGGCGCTGTGTCAGCTCACTGCAGCCTAGGTCTCCTGAGTTCAAGCTGTTCTCTGGCCTCAGCCTCTCAAGTAGCCAGGACTACAGCCGTGCGCCACCACGTCCAGCTGATTTTTGTATACACAGGGTTTTCACCATGTTGGCCAGGCTGGTCTCGAACTTCTGACCTCAGGTGATCCGCTCACCTCAGCCTCTCATAGTGCTGGGATTACAGGTGTGAGCCAACGTGGCTGTTCTGGTCTGTGTACCATTACGCACAGGTGTGATCCATTTATAAATTTATCGTGATAATTTTCACCTAATCAGTTTTGATCTGAAATGTGTAATTACTTTCAGAGTCAATAGAATCTGGCAAGAGCCCAACAATCCTATAATTCCATTGTACAGATACATAAGAAAAATGCTAAGTTTAATTCAATGTGTTTATTGCCATTTAAGAAGCTTTTAATAATGTTTTGATACTTACCCTGATTTGTTTTTTTGTTTTTGGTTTATGTTATCATAGTGAAAAAAACTTATGCTGCATACAAAATCTTTTAATGAATCCTTAATACTGTGCTTCAGTCAAAAATCTTTGTATGCTGTGCACTTGGCCTAGGTATCTTGGAGTCAGAATCAAGATGATTGTTTTTAGCATGTTAGTGAATGGCTCACTCTACTTACTTGAAATCAGTGGTCTTAGGTTAGGAATTGAGGCAACTCTTTATAGATAGAGTTGTTATAACTGGGCAAATGCAGTCAGGATCATGACCTGCCATTTCTGAAACATCTTCAGACTATAAACTTAATGCTTGTCACAGTCTTATAAATGTGTCTATATGTGTCTATTCAGTAAGAATAGTTGTCATTTCAGTTTCGACGTGAGTATTGAGTTGTCAATTTTTAAAGTTAAATCTTTCTTAAAATATCCTTCATAAGCTTTAGTGGTCTTTAAATTTTGTTTATGTCTCTTTCACAGTACACATATTTTGAGTTTTTGTCTCTAACAGTGAGATTAAAAAAAAAAAAACTAGACTAGAAATAATGTTATAAACAGCTACACAAGAAATAATTGTATAGAGCCTGTTAAAGTCATGTAGAACATATTTTTAGATACCATGTTATACTTTGCATTAAAGTCAGTTCTCTGTCTCCTTGTTTTACAAGGTTTTCTTTTACTAAATAAATAAACCCATCAGATTTTCTACATTATTTGGTGGTGCATCGAGGAAAATGGGGGGCAGGGGAGTAATTCAGCTTTTGGCGGGGTGAGGAGAAGTAGGACCGGCATATAAAAATTTGTCTGAAGGTTCCAGAGGTAAATCTCTAATTAGAGTGATTTTGTCACCTGTACTTCATTTCATTTATTCCCAGAGAAGTTGCATTGACCTTAACAGAAATCAAAAAAGTAATCACTCTGCTAAACTTTCCTATATTGACCACACCACACATATGTTCCATTAGTTACCTTCCATTTGATGAGAGAACAGTGCTTGCAAATAGAATGTCAATGAGCTTGTTAAGCAAAGAGAAAACAGAACTTACCTGAAATTAGAAGTTAACGAGAAATTTTCAAAAACATAGTAGTTGACAAGGAAGTGAAGAAAAACAGGAGAATCCTTTCTGTGATCCCTAATAGTAAAATATATCAAAACAAATGTGAATTATAAATAGAGGTATTTTCTAAATTAAACTCAGGGCAGCCAGATTAGAAATACAGTATAAACATAATACAATGTGTTTTCCGTTAATATTCAAAATTTGTCATATACTGACCTATAAATTTGCTCCACTTAGCAAGGTGTGGTGGTGGGTGATCGCAGCTACTTGGGAGGCTGAGGCAGGAGAATTGCCTGAACCCAGGAGGTGGGGTGGAGTTTGCATTAAGCCAAGACTGCACCATTGCACTCCAGCTTGGGCAACAAGAGCAAAACTCCGTCTCAAATAAATAAAATAATAAAATAAAATAGAAGAGGGGGGCGCCTTTGTGTACTGCAGATCCTGAAAATGGGCTGACTGACCTTACTAAGCAGGGATTCAAGCTCTCTAGCTTACATGGGATACGTGCAGGGGAAAAAAGAAAAAGAAACATAAATATAAATAAAAGAAATGAACACTTCTCCCTGGTTATAAAGGAAATCACCTTCCTTTTGTAATATTTTGGATGACAAAATATAAAGAAAAATCTAATTTTATCACTCAAAACATTCGAGTTTTTTGCTTTTTACACTTTTCTATGCATATAAACATTTTAAAAAGAATCATAATATATAGTCTTTTGTCACTTTCTACATTTTGGGCATACTTTTATGGCAGAAATATATCCTGACATTATGATTTTTAATAGTTGGATGTATATTTAGTGAATCATGGCCACTCCAGAGGTGAATTTCTTTCTATATACATTTATTGTACTCGAGCAAGTATTACTGGAATGAATTCAGAGAAGTAGGATTTCTGGAGGAAAATAATATAAAACAGCTTTAGGGTTTTTAATAGAAATGTTCAAATTATCCTGTAGGAAAATTGGTTCAGTTTATCCCCAACACGGACAGAGCTCCAGGTTCCCCTATCCATTGTCCTCTTTGCTTGTCTTTAAGCAGAAAATTTCATTGCTTTCATTACATTTCTTTGATTTCTAGTGGTTTTGAATCTTTTTCATGTGACTCTTTGGCCATTTATATTATTGTGGGAAGTGCCTATTTCTCTGTTGCTTATTTTCTGTTGGAAATAATTCATTCTTTTCTGAGAAATTTTAAAGATTTCTTTACAGGCTAAGGATAGAAACCCTTTATCTGTCACTGAAGTTACAAAGACTTTCTCCCAATAAGTAATTTCTTATTTTGCTTTATTTTTTTATTGATTGATTTTGCCAGCCAAGCACCAAAGTCACGTTTCACTTAATGTTTATCCTGCTGACTGAAAGTGTTTTAACTTAGTGATTTTAGTGGAGCAGGACAGAATGTAATTATCTAGGTCTCGCTCTGTCACCCTGACTGGGGTGCAGTGGCATGATCGTAGCCACTGCAGCCTCGAACTCCTGGGCTCAAGTAATTTTTCCCACCTCAGCCTCCCAAGTAGCTAGGACTACAAATGTGTGCTGCCACGCCCAGCTACTTTTAAAAAATTTGTATAGAGATGTGAATTGTCTATGCTGCCCAGGCTGGTCTTGAACTCCTGACTTCAAGTAATCCTCCCACCTTGGCTTGCCAATGTGCTGGGATTACAGGTGTGAACTACTGCTCCCAGCCGAGAGCTTACTTTTGTTTGCTAGTGGTGTTCTTGGTATCTTTTTCTATTTGAGGCCTTGGTGCTAGTGTTGACGTATTCCACTCACTATCTGAGGTTTACAGGACTTTTGTTTGAATATTGAACAGATGGAACTGTTTAGTTCTGGGTCTTTGCAGGTATACAAAATGTGCCTACCAGGACTCTGCTTTATAAGCATTGA